TTACTCTATATTGCTCCCAATTGTTTATGGACTGATCATTGAAATCCAACGGACTCTCATCTCGATCGGTTTCACATGTGAACTGTTTGATAAGTTTATAAGCTTGCACGGTGAAACCGGTCGTTGTCCAAATGTTGAAAAAGTACTTGGCTGAACAGAAATTCTCCAATCGGAACGCAATATCAGTGTTCGAACAAGAATTACTTCCCATGCACACAAACAAACTATCTGTCTCTCGTTGCTCCGGCCAAATAGATGAGAATCATGGCATATTTCACGGATGTTGGTACTGAATCAATGAACCCACTGGGGTTTCGAATCCTCGAACGGGTGGGGGAGAGGAGAAAGTACATCATCATTCAAACGGCCATATACCCGTTCATCGATTTCTTCCGAGCCAACACTTCGCAAAGAGTTGCTTATGAATCAGTGTGTTACACCATCCGGTAACTTGTCCAAATCAAGGAACAATACAAGTTCATAACTGTTTGCCTCAAAATTTCCGAATCGAGAAATTCGAGCTTATAGGATATCAACAAATCGTATGGTTGTCCATTCAAAACACGTGTCAAGCCATGCTACTATGTTTCTTCCTTCGAGAGTAGATCGTGACTAATATGCTTGTCATCCTACTATATATATTGCAATCGTTTGGGGCAATCGAGGCCCTGACCGATCCTACGTGTATCCACAGCAATGGCCGACTAACTGCCGAATTGGGCGTTCTTGATTTGTTGACTTGTTGTGACTTCTGCGGAATTGGGATGCTATAGAGAAGGCTTAGGATTTCTGGACCAAATACGGAATTATGACCAGTGGTTAACTGAATAGTCTTAAGGGATGCTCACCTTATTCTTTCCTCAATTGTGATTATAATGGTACGTCCGAAAAACTGAAGCCTTACCCGGGAATGGCCTTTGAAACTCCTCGTTGTCAAAATGAATGTCAGGCTGGTTATAACAGAACATACGAAGATGAATAGTTTACGGTGAGTCAATCAAATTTTGAACAGTGAAAATAATTGGAAACGTTTGAATATATTTGTGTATTTCTGTGTGTTTTGAAAACTGTGACTGATGACTTAAAATCACATTGCAGTAAACGCAGTAGACTTTTCTTCGACGGAGTGATAATTTTCTGGTCTTTAGGACAACCGTTTGAAGTGTACTGAGGAAAACAAGCAAGTTACATACTGCAATAGGTAGCTAAAACAATTCGTTGCATAAACGCGTTTCAAGCGTTTAAGTTTGTCTATCTCATTCCTCCTCGCTCGAGTCCGCATTCACTATTGCCGTTTGTCTACAAACACTTTAATCTAATATTAAAATGCATCAAATATGTCACAGTTAGATAGATTGCAAATATGTAAGATTGACCTGTGATTTGTTTGAATGCAACGCATACCGGATCGAAGTATGTTTAACGAATATTTTCTCTTTGAAATAGCGGAAAACAGTTTAATTTGCTTGCTGAGTCTAACATTCAACGTATACTACTGCTTAGCAAACGCATTTGACCAATATAGTGCATTTTCAATCACGATCCACCACAGTACAGCACTGCGACCGCATGTGTTTTGATTTATTGGCCAAATGGTTCCAATGACAGAGGAATACACTGTCGGTAAATAATATTCTCTATTGCGCGACAAATCATTTACACGCGGGTTGCATCGTCTTTGTCCTTGTTTTCACGAACTGTAAGGTCTGCAGATAGAAATAATCAGTTTGGGAGCAGGATCATTCACAATTCTGTCTGGATTTTTGTGGTTTTTGTACAGGAACATCGTCGTACAATGTACATTCCGACGGAAAGGATATAATGTATAGAATTATGACGAGGGGATCAGTCGCGACTGTCTTCTATGCATATGAGGACTTTGATTATTACGCAGGTGGCATTTACCATCAACAGACCGTTGAATTATTGGGAAGTCACGCGGTTCGCATGTTCGGCTGGGGAGAGGACAACGGTGAGAAGCACGGGTTGCTTGCGAACTCGTGGAACGAAGAATGAAGTGAGAACGGTTTCTTCCGTATTCGTCTAGGAGTGAACGAAAGTGGAATTGAATCTAGAAGTAATGCAGGAGTGCCACGTGTGTGATCGATGGACTTATCCATCGTGAGCAAGAATTACTGACTTAGTCTTATCACATTTACTGAATAAGGTTCATAGTGCAACGGGCGTTCTTCATCTACAATTTCATAATGATTAATACATCAGCACTTTTAGAGAAATGAGCAAACCTGAAAACAAGCAAATCATCCCCAATGAATTGCCATAATATTTCTGCATCTAGGATCAAGTCAAGGATAGCCGAGGGACACAGACTGCATAATATCCGTGCTTCCTGTACTGGCTTTTGGTTCTCTGCTCAGAAAGAACCGATCCGCCAAGTAAAGTATTCCGTTTTATCCACAATGTATTGGTGTCCCGTCGGAGATATCGGAAATGGACCAATGAGGTCGACGGTCCGTCACTGGCCGTTCCTCGATGCTGGTGTTGACTGTATTGGACACAGTGTATGACGCGAATGTGGTTTGAACAGTTGCCATTTTTCGAAAGCTACCAAGTGGTTTCCTACGTCACTCTGCTTGTTGGATCGATTTGCTGGCTGCCAGATTAAACCGTATCTGTTTACCTTAATCTGTGAGAATTGTGCGTTCCGACTCATTTGTTTACTCTGTACTCCATCACTGACGCGGTAAGATACACTGGAACCACACTCCAGACGGTTCACCAGTTACTTTCGTAAAATGTGAAATCAATGATTGATTGTTTACCCATAATTGGAGTCAAACGACGGTGTAGTTCATCAAATATCAAAGATACTTTCAGAATAATAACCGAATTGATAGCGAGTGAACTCCGGAAGCACCTCCCACTGATTGGGCGTGCAATCAAAACGTGTGACTATTCGCACCCTTCTCTTCCCATATGCCCGTCACATTGTTGGTCGGTGAATAACTCAGTCAGATTCGATTTGTCGCGGAAGCATTGAACTTGTTGATTAATTGCACATGTGACACGTAACATAATCACTGACAGAGGTCTAGTATAAGAAAAATGTCGTGGGTGTGAGTAAATCTCAGATCTGATCAGAATCAGGTTTTCATCACTGATGCCTAAGGAGGAGAAATGTTCGGTAGAAAATTTGTCAACTTGATTAGTGATTATGTGCTCTATATGAGAAGTTATTCTAGTGGCTTCGATAGTAAAGTCACTGAGGTTTAGGCGGAATGAAGGATGCATAGTTGGAGTCACCAAATATTAAATGCAAGCTATCAGTAAGAGATGGGGCAATAAACGGTCGGAAATGATCCCTAAATGTGTAAATATGTGACAATACATAGTGGGATGTATTGTATAAATCGGTGATAGCAATAAAAGGTAAGAGGGGAATTGGGGGTGATCGACGATAGTCAAGCAATTAATAACATTTTTTGAAAAGTACTTCGGACTTGCCACGCCACTTTTAGTTGATGTACGTGATCGCACCGTCTACCAGTTTGTTCCTGTACTGTTGTCTATTGTCTGACGCGGAGGAAATTGTCAATTGGGACCACGGAATTATCCACATCTTCATTAAAACCATGACTCATGGAGATACAAAACACGAGAGTTGTGAAACACCTTTCACTAGAGCAGGTAGGTTAAATCCGGAAGCTTCCCAAACACAGAACGGACATTGTTACTCACAATGGTAGTTGCGATCATCTTGCTGGGAGTAGTGCAACTGAGAGCGGCTTGTCAACCGGCACGAATTCATTTTCTGCGTTTTGGAGTACCTGTGCGGTTGACTAGCGCCTGGCACACCGAACAAGGCAGTATGATTTTTCATCATAACCTACTAATTTTATCATGAATTCGTTTGTGTATATGGTTAAAGCTTGCATATTGAGCAATTTGGTAGATAAGTTCCAGAATCTAACGGAGATCACAAATTGTAACACAGTCGATCAAAGGTCGGGCAAGTGCAAAGTGACAAAATCACAAAACCTGTATTTTGTAAGATTGAATAATTATGGGATAGTTTCTTGGGATGGGCATGAATAGCGTAGCTAAAACCAAGTTTTAGGCTACACACCTAAGATCATTTTGCTGCACCCGTAACCGTGCGCAGTGCAGTTCAAATGATCCGCAACAAAAAGCCAGAAATTGCACAATCTCATTTCAAGAGAAATTTCAAACGAAGCTGTTCTGCATTCCGAGGCAATTCATATACGCACCAGCAGAACAAACCGGTGGTCTGTTTCATCCTTTCTCGGTTCATCGAATCTAGGTCCGTATTGTAATTTTGATGACACGTTTATGACAACTGATAAGAATAAGAATCAGTTACAGGATGCGCGTGCCAGTTCCAAGTAGCACACGCTTCCTACACGCTGGTAAATGGGGCTGGATGATTAGTGATTTGTGTAAACAAACTCAAAACAGGTTTTCAAGTATTTGTTTTTTCCTACCATTCACTTGCAATTTAGTATAACGACCTTGGTAACTTGTCATTGCGTTTCAGTGTGAGTCGTGTTTATCTCTCACTGGAAATTTTGGTTTCTGGTGTCTGCATTACCCTCAGATCATCAGTTCTCCCTCTCCACGGAAAACCTCCTGTCTGTTGACGGTCCCAGCCCACACCTTGACTCGGCCCATTTGCGGTTGTCTGGTGTATCCGTTCACGGGGGACATCTGACGCGCACACGAGCCAAGCATCTCACACTATACCTTTTCAAATTCAAGTGAATTCGTTGGAACTTCAGGTGAATCCACCGGAACTTTAAATGAATCCATTGGAAACTGCATTGGAAACCCCACAAGATTATTGGTGTTTCGGTCGTCAAATGTCCCCGATTGGACCGGGTCTATCTAAACCCCGCCGAACTCACTTCCCCGTAAACAAACTAAAGTACTTTTTAGTGAGTTACCGAGCGAGGATGAATGTTTCGGTGGGGTGAGGTAGGCCGTTTTCACCCCTCCTCCCCCTCTCTCTCCCCCCAAACCCACCCGGGAACGTTGTGTTCGTGATCATTTATCGGGTGTGAGTCGTAGATACGAATGAACGAACCCGGAGTTAATTGACCTCTGTCGGTCGGGTAATGAAGCGAATCACGTCAAGATGGATCGATAAGTCGGTTACGATGCCCAGACGTGAATGTGAGCATGATTCTTTGTATGAGTGGAGTCAGTCTAAGCCCACAACAGGCCGAGTTTCTCTCGAATAAAACCGATTCCCTTGAATCAAATGCGATTGCTTACGTATTTCTGACTAGACACTTAGCATTCATAAGATGACGGGGGTGACTACTGCAGCAGTTTCTCTCTTCTCGAATCCAAATGTACGTGATTATTTTGACCAAACTGGAATCAACCCCAAAGATTGATAACTGGTACCATTTACACCCTAACGATATGTAAAATGTCGATCTGCCCAACATGATCGTTCTGTTTTAACGATGCATGAACTTCCCGCCTCGATTTTTCTTTAATCACCACTTACCCTGGAAAACACTGCCTACCGAGGGACTGGTTCTGTATTAAATTATCGACAAACGCAAAGTGGATAACCAGAATACTGTAATTGTAAATGCGCCCTAAAGTCTACGAACTATCTAATGAACCCGAACTATCGACTCCAATAATGATAGAACTTTCCGACCTATATCTCCCATTAACAAAAACATTCAGTGATTAGATAAAGATCAATAGCATTAAAAATCAAGCATTTCGATAGCTGTTGGATAATGTACACGAACATGGTTAGTTGCATGCTGACAATGATCCTTCGTGATATGAGACTTGGCATCACTGGCAATGCTTTCCAAACATGCCATCTTCCAGTCCTGTTGGTTCGTTTGTCCTTTGGGATCACCCGTCATAATCTTGGCATGCTGATTTCTGAGCTCCTTTTGATGTAACTTTTCATAATGCTCCATATCATTTCTATCGGATTCAACGCTGGAGAATATGGAGCAATTCTGAGAATGCTCACTATTCCTCCGGCAAAGACATTTTCCAGTTTAGAATAACAGGGTGCGTTGTCACACACAATCACATATGATTTGTGCTCTTCTTGCAATAATTGATCAACTAGCGTTTGCATACACAATACGGAGTTGTAGGATCCTCTTTTAAGAATATAGTTGAAAAACCCATCAGCATTTATAGCAGATTTCTTTCTCTTGAACTGACTAAACGAAAGATGACAAAACAGATTTGGTTTGACTGATGTTTGAGTTTTCGGTAATCGTGCGAACAAATCAACTGTCTTAATTCGCTAAAATAAAATCCGGCAGGTATCTGTGAAAAAATGCACTATTTTCTACAATGGTTGGCTCAGAGCGGAATGAATATAATGGGGAAGAGGCCAATGACTACGGAGAAGTACAGTAATAATGTGAAATGTCTATATCACCGCCCAGCTCAGTTCAGAGTAGAAAAAATGTCACTGCTCTCCAACTGTATGATAGGTAGCTCGTTTACACAATTTTTCGTGGTAACACGCATACGAGAAATATACTGCAAAGTGGCATCCGCGGTGCCACTGAACCTTTTCCCTTATTCAACGTTCAGTAATAAGACAACCGTGGGTAGAATATTTTACCGATCTTTACGTAATACCTCATGGAGCACCCTGTACAGAGTTATAATCGTTTATGAGATCATCGATAACTGTAACTCATATCACCACCAGTCTCATTCACTAAACTATAAAGATCGCGCAAATGTAACCAGTTTATGAGACGATGCGACGGGTTGATGATGGGGCGGGGTGAAAACGGCCTACTTCACCCCACCGAAACATTCATCCTCGCTCGGTAACTCACTAAAAAGTACTTTAGTTTGTTTACGGGGAAGTGAGTTCGGCGGGGTTTAGATAGACCCGGTCCAATCGGGGACATTTGACGACCGAAACACCAATAATCTTGTGGGGTTTCCAATGCAGTTTCCAATGGATTCACTTGAAGTTACAACGGATCCATTTGAAGTTGAAAATGTTTAGTGAGAGCAGTATTGAGAACAATGTTATTGCTAGTGGGTCCTTATTGTTTGACTCGGCAAATAGTGACCTACTGATACTCATCACGACGATCGTTTATTTCAGAATG